AAATACAAAGGCGCCCGTCTCGTTGCCAAAGGGTTCAAGCGAAATATGAAAAATCGACTACACGGAAACGTTTTTTTGCCGGTAGTCAAAGTACGTGACGCTGCGCATGGTAGTTGCAATCACGAAGTACTTTGACTGGACACTGGACCTACTGGACGTGGTGACAGCTTTGCTATGCAGAAAGATGAAGGAAAAGGTATTCTGCACCGTCCCAGAAGGGAATTCCAAGTTGATGAAAACTTTAATTGCTTCAGAATGATGAAGGCGATCTACGGACTAAAACAAGCATCGCGAGTATGGAACGAGAATTTCCATGAGTTCGTCTGCTCCATTGGATTCCAAGTATCTCATTTGACCCGTGTCTTTATCTCAAGATTACAAGTGGCGAGTGCGTGCTTTTGCTGGTATACGTCGATGATGTGTTGGTGACTGGCAGCTCGACCGAACTGATTATGCGCACCAAGAGTGACTTGAAGGCGCGTTTCGAAATGACTGACAGCGGCAAGTGCGCATTCGTGTTGGGCATCGAGCTGGTGGACAACGACAAGTGGTAGCGTGACGATGTGCCAGCGACGCTACGTGGAAGATGTTCTCAAGCGTTTTGGCATGAGCGACTGCAAAGCCGTCACCAGCCCAACAGACATTAGTTCTTGAATCATACCAAGCAGTGCAGTAACCAAAATCGACGCCCCGTTTTGTGAAGCAGTAGGCGCTTTAATGCACTTGATGACCGCGGCACGACCGGACATTGCCTTTGCTGTGAGTTACGTTTCCGCGCTTCATGGAAAACCTCCAAGTCGAGCATTGGATGGCGGTCAAGCGCATTTTGCGATACTTACAAGGGACTAAGTCGGACGGCATCTGTTTCAAGTCTGATGACAAGATAGACTTCTGCGGCTACTCGGATGCAGACTGGGCCGGCGACCATGCAGACCGCAAGTCGACTTCGAGATATGCGCTCATCCTGATGGGTGATCCGGTGAGCTGGGGAAGCAAAAAGCAGTCAAGTGTGTCGCTGTCAACAAGTGAAGCTGAGTGCATTGCATTAAGTCTGGCTATTCAAGAAGGCAAGTGGGTGCATCGATTGCCATGCGAGATTCTGGATGCCGCAGAGGACAAGTCTGGACCCGAGCTCAAGATCATGGAAGACAACCAATCGTGCATCAAGATGACGAAGAATCCTGTGAACCATGGTCGGGCCAAGCACATCGACTCTTTGTGGTCCAATGGAAGTCGACTCGCTAGGTGGAAGCAAGTACTTGCTACTGACCGTAGATGAAGGCAGCGGATGCATGAAGGGTTTCAGTCTGCGCCGCCACGTCTGACAGCGAAGAGTGCATCAAGAAGTACATCGTGGCAGTACAGACGCAGTTTGACTACAAGGTCAAGTTCGTTCGCCACGATGGTGCACGCGAATCCGCGGCAAATTCGCTCAAGGCATTTTACGATGATCAACGAATCGAGCAGCAAGTTACCGTTCCATATGCGCATCAGACCAACGGCACGGCGGAACGGGCAATTCGGACCATTGTGACGATCGGGCGCAGCATGCTTCACTACGCCAAGCTGGACAAGTTTTTTTGAGTTGAAGCAGCAATGACGGCGATCTACATCAAGAATCGCCTACCATCGCCCAAGTGCCAAGATTAAACCCCGTTCGAGATTGTCAACGGATTTCGACCAAGTGTGAAGCACGTGCGGGTTTTCGGCTGCCGAACGTTTGTGCTGACCCCTGAGGAAAAGAGATCGAAATGGGATCCAAAGGCCCGTGAAGGACGATTCATGGGGTACGAAGAAGTGTCAAAGGCATATCGCGTTTACGACATTGAAGCGGATCAAGTGGTGATATCTCGCGATGTCACATTCGACGAATCAACGTTTGGTTTCTCGCCGACGCTACCACAAGAAATTGTTGATGACACTGCGCTGGATGTCGAATCGATGAACATCAGCGATGAGCCTCACCCTATGCAGTTCAAGAAAACTGGAAAACGCAAAAGCCGTTCAAACAGCCAAGAACAAGCTCTGCAACGGACACTTCCTGAGCGTCGTGGAACCGGGTTCGAAGAAGCAAGTGCACCGGATGACTTTGAAACGCACCAAGCGAAGCGACGGTCAAGCGCTCGAGCCAATCTGGACGAAGAGCGAAAGGGCAGTGACGAAGATAACGAGGATGCTACACCTCAAGTCTTTTGGCGAGCGAGTGTCAACGCAGTCGAAGGTACTGACTTGTCTGAGCCGACAACGTTTAAAGATGCTGTTGATGGACCGGATCAAGTGCATTGGCGTAAAGCTATCTGTGCCGATTTGGATTCGATGAAACTTCGTGGCGTGCTTCGAGCGCCCAAACAGCCAGCTGGACAGCATACCATTGGCACCAAGTGGGTATTCAATATCAAGCGGAAAGCTGATGGATCCATCGAGAAATACAAGGCGCGTCTCGTGGCAAAAGGGTTCAAGCAGAAATATGGCATCGACTACACGGAGACGTTTTTCCGGTAGTCAAGTACGTGACGCTGCGCATGGTAGTTGCAATCACGAAGTACTTTGACTGGACACTGGACCTACTGGACGTGGTGACAGCTTTGCTATGCGGAGAGATGAAGGAAAAGGTATTCTGCGCGATCCCAGAAGGGGTCGAAGTTGATGAAGACTTTGACTGCTTCGAATTGTTGAAGGCGATCTACGGACTAAAACAAGCATCGCGAGTATGGAACGAGAATTTCCATGAGTTCGTCTGCTCCATTGGATTCCAAGTATCTCATTTTGACCCGTGTCTTTATCTCAAGATTACAAGTGGCGAGTGCGTGCTTTTGCTGGTATACGTCGATGATGTGTTGGTGACTGGCAGCTCGACCGAACTGATTATGCGCACCAAGAGTGACTTGAAGGCGCGTTTCGAAATGACTGACAGCGGCAAGTGCGCATTCGTGTTGGGCATCGAGCTGGTGGACAACGACAGTGGTAGCGTGACGATGTGCCAGCGACGCTACGTGGAAGATGTTCTCAAGCGTTTTGGCATGAGCGACTGCAAAGCCGTCACCAGCCCAACAGACATTAGTTCTTGAATCATAACAAGCAGTGCAGTAACCAAAATCGACGCCCCGTTTTGTGAAGCAGTAGGCGCTTTAATGCACTTGATGACCGCGGCACGACCGGACATTGCCTTTGCTGTGAGTTACGTTTCGCGCTTCATGGAAAACCTCCAAGTCGAGCATTGGATGGCGGTCAAGCGCATTTTGCGATACTTACAAGGGACTAAGTCGGACGGCATCTGTTTCAAGTCTGATGACAAGATAGACTTCTGCGGCTACTCGGATGCAGACTGGGCCGGCGACCATGCAGACCGCAAGTCGACTTCGAGATATGCGCTCATCCTGATGGGTGATCCGGTGAGCTGGGGAAGCAAAAAGCAGTCAAGTTTGTCGCTGTCAACAAGTGAAGCTGAGTGCATTGCATTAAGTCTGGCTATTCAAGAAGGCAAGTGGGTGCATCGATTGCCATGCGAGATTCTGGATGCCGCAGAGGACAAGTCTGGACCCGAGCTCAAGATCATGGAAGACAACCAATCGTGCATCAAGATGACGAAGAATCCTGTGAACCATGGTCGGGCCAAGCACATCGACTCTTGTGGTCAATGGAAGTCGACTCGCTAGGTGGAAGCAAGCACTTGCTACTGACCCGTAGATGAAGGCAGCGGATGCATGAAGGGTTTCAGTCTGCGCGCCACGTCTGACAGCGAAGAGTGCATCAAGAAGTACATCGTGGCAGTACAGACGCAGTTTGACTCCAAGGTCAAGTTCGTTCGCCACGATGGTGCACGCGAATCCGCGGCAAATTCGCTCAAGGCATTTTACGATGATCAACGAATCGAGCGGCAAGTTACCGTTCCATATGCGCATCAGACCAACGGCACGGCGGAACAGGCAATTCGGACCATTGTGACGATCGGGCGCAGCATGCTTCACTACGCCAAGCTGGACAAGTTTTTTTGAGTTGAAGCGGCAATGACGGCGATCTACATCCAGAATCGCCACCATCGCCCAAGTGCCAAGATCAAACCCCGTTCGAGATTGTCAACGGATTTCGACCAAGTGTGAAGCACATGCGGGTTTTCGGCTGCCGAACGTTTGTGCTGACCCCTGAGGAAAAGAGATCGAAATGGGATCCAAAGGCCCGTGAAGGACGATTCATGGGGTACGAAGAAGTGTCAAAGGCATATCGCGTTTACGACATTGAAGCGGATCAAGTGGTGATATCTCGCGATGTCACATTCGACGAATCAACGTTTGGTTTCTCGCCGACGCTACCACAAGAAATTGTTGATGACACTGCGCTGGATGTCGAATCGATGAACATCAGCGATGAGCCTCACCCTATGCAGTTCAAGAAAACTGGAAAACGCAAAAGCCGTTCAAACAGCCAAGAACAAGCTCTGCAACGGACACTTCCTGAGCGTCGTGGAACCGGGTTCGAAGAAGCGAAGTGCACCGGATGACTTTGAAACGCACCAAGCGAAGCGACGGTCAAGCGCTCGAGCCAATCTGGACGAAGAGCGAAAGGGCAGTGACGAAGATAACGAGGATGCTACACCTCAAGTCTTTTGGCGAGCGAGTGTCAACGCAGTCGAAGGTACTGACTTGTCTGAGCCGACAACGTTTAAAGATGCTGTTGATGGACCGGATCAAGTGCATTGGCGTAAAGCTATCTGTGCCGATTTGGACTCGATGAAACTTCGTGGCGTGCTTCGAGCGCCCAAACAGCCAGCTGGACGGCATACCATTGGCACCAAGTGGGTATTCAATATCAAGCTGGAAAGCTGATGGATCTATCGAGAAATACAAGGCGCGTCTCGTGGCAAAAGGGTTCAAGCAGAAATATGGCATCGACTACACGGAGACGTTTTCCGGTAGTCAAGTACGTGACGCTGCGCATGGTAGTTGCAATCACGAAGTACTTTGACTGGACACTGGACCTACTGGACGTGGTGACAGCTTTGCTATGCGGAGAGATGAAGGAAAAGGTATTCTGCGCGATCCCAGAAGGGGTCGAAGTTGATGAAGACTTTGACTGCTTCGAATTGTTGAAGGCGATCTACGGACTAAAACAAGCATCGCGCGTATGGAACGGAGAATTTCCATGAGTTCGTCTGCTCCATTGGAGTTCAAGTATCTCATTTTGACCCGTGTCTTTATCTCAAGATTACAAGTGGCGAGTGCGTGCTTTTGCTGGTATACGTCGATGATGTGTTGGTGACTGGCAGCTCGACCAGACTGATTATGCGCACCAAGAGTGACTTGAAGGCGCGTTCTCGAAATGACTGACAGCGGCAAGTGCGCATTCGTGTTGGGTATCAGGCTGGTGGACAACGACAGCGGTAGCGTGACGAAGATGTGCCAGCGACGCTACGTGGAAGATGTTCTCAAGCGTTGGCGCGGCCGACTGCAAAGCCAAGTCACCAGCCCAGCAGACGTCAGTTCTTGACTCGCTTTGCAAGCAGTTTAGAGCCGATGTGCTTGACCGGCATCTTACGACGTGTTACACAACTCGAACGCTTCACCCAGTAAATTTCCACGTGCCACTCCCATACGTTACCCGACAAGCTAAGAGTGAACGGCGTTTACATAACAATGTCATTAACGACATTAAGTGGGTGCGCATGCACGGCCGGCCACACTCGGTGCATTTTTACGTGCCGCCTACCACACATCAAAGGAATTACATCCTTGATGATCGGCCCACTTTACCCAGCAAGCTTTTATCATGCAGTGACTCTTTATCACAAGGAGTAACACTCAACGAAGTACTTGCCGTATTACCGATATCTAACGAGCTACGCTCGCAATATATGTTTACAAAGTTGGAATTTGAAAACTCCTGACATTTCAATATGTCCGTTGACATCTTCTGTCAAAGGCTCGTGCCAGTAGTGCTTCTGTTGCCCAGCGACGGCCAAAGAATTCATGACTTTCCAAATCTTCGTTAGGAACTTTACGCGGTAACTAAGGTCTTAGACCTCCTATCGATTCATAGATCATGGCGTTCAAGCCAAGCCATATCAAGGATGAGATCATATCTCGAGTCCAAATTAAGGACAAGACAGCGTTCAATGCGGTCCAAGTCTCAAATCTGTATACCTAAGCTCAATAAAACTTTACGGCACAGTAACACGACTTCCAGTCGCTAAGCAAGCAGTGGTAGAGGTCACCCTCATGCGTTGTAAGTGCCTCAGCATAACGCTGACTCCCTAAAAGAGGCGCGAGGTCGGGCACTCAGTGCAAGACGCTTACAGAGTCAGTCAAAATTGACCCAAGGCCTCTCAAAGTCCATCATTTTTACCTCGGCGACTAGCAAGCCAACTTGTATCCAAGCTCCATACCAATAGGTACGGGTCTCTCAGGGCTAAGCCCTTTTTTTAACTTTACCTCACCTCCTACATGCGTAACCAGAACCCCAGTTCTACCCCATCAGGGCGCCCCGCACCCCAATGGACGTTGGCATTTCCCCGTGCCGTGTCAGACTTCTGGCTCGGTTTTGACAGCTTCGCTTGATCGTGGCGCTGTTTACGCAAGGGTGCAAACCAGGACGCAAGAGTTAAGTGCTTCTGCACGCAAACAGTCGTACGACGCGTTGCTGCTTAGAAGCGGGAAGTTTAACTTCACCTTCATCTTCAGCACAGCTAAGGTCCATCGGTTTGGCCTGTTAAAGACCCGGACCACTTGTGGAGTTTGCTCTTGCAGAGCTAGGGTTGTACCCGTTCCAGCCAAGTCGGACCGATTTGAAGTTATCTGAGCATTAAAAGAAATTCTCACAGCTTCTTCGAAAGTAGAGGGTTAAACCCGAAAACTTTGGTTCTGGCAATGCCAGTACGAAGACCCCCATCAAGATAGTCACATGAACTGCTTCAGGCAGAGGGTCAGACTGCATTGCAGCCATGAGAGTTCTTGGCCCTTGGACATAGTACGATAACTCATTCTTACCCTACCGGTAGATAAAAGCGTGAACGCACGCGTTAAGCTTGGTTAGTTGGTGAGAACACCTGTATCAATTATGACTTTGGCGACTCTCATGTGGGAATTGCTAAGTCAAACGACGTGCTACACTTCAAGGCTCATTCTCTAGACCTTCATCGAGCTTTGAGATATAAAGCGAGACCTGTTGATGGTCAAGTGGTCAAGCTTGATCCAGGCCTGATCTCATGGCCATCTAAATCTCACGGACCCAGAGGATGGGATTTTCGACCGCCTTACCGGAGTAGCTTTTAACTTCAACTCTAAAGTAGACGAGGCCTAGCCTCGTCGTCTGGCTACAGACATATGGCGCGTAGGCATAGCCGACGCTTCTTGGTCTTAGTACCTGCCCTAGAAAGGTCGCTTCCATACTGCATAAAGCCTTCAACACGTTCATGTAGCACCTCAGGCCTTGTGAAACAAAACAATTTCATGCAATCTGGACCCAATGATGCAGTCAGCTTATCAAGCGCGACCTTTTGGGCCTCAGAGAGGGTAAGGGTTTTTCCATCCTCACACAGGATCTTTTAAAGACTCAGGAGTAGATAAACTACGAGTGCCACCAAGTGTAGCGAAGCTACACACATTTTTAAGTCAGAGGAAGACTTAACGCACAACGAGCAACTTAGTTCTACAGAACTAGTCTCAATGAGTCAACAAGCGTGAGCTTATGGTCCCTTGTTCAGGGGACCAAACGATTCAGTGAATCGACAGCACTTAGTGCTCGAGAGTAACTAGATACCTCAAGGAGGTGTTGCTAAATCTTAGTGATCAGTGATCAAAGACCAAAGACGCCTCGCAAGGCACGTGTCTTTAAGATCAAAATAAGAACTGCATTTTATTCCATTTGAACCTATAGAATATCGTAATCCTAATCTAGACAATTACTTCCTAAGTTTTTATAACTAATATCTCTCCTATCTGGTGGCTGACACCACTCATCCCCTACAAACCGATAATTTATATTCTAGATCTCTTTCAGTGGGATATCATCCGTGTGTCTAAGACACAGGGTACCAGGTATCCAACTACGTGTAACCCCTTTAAGAGAAGTGTGCTATATTTGCGAACCAAAATGTTATCCATCGGGATGTTATCGTGAGATTATACTGTGTTTGACCTAACACAATATTCATACTTGATATTTACCGTATGTAAATTGACATGTACGCGGAGGCAATCCGTTACAGGAGTCAAAAGAAACGTCTGGTTAGTCGACCGACCTGCTGGAACCAATAGACCGGACTATAGTGCAGCAGCTACTCGCAAAAATTCCAGATACGAGTTTACCTGCTTCCTTGGCTACTAACACTCATGTCCTTAACTTGTTCTTCGCTTACGCTTCTCCCCAGTGTACTTTTGCGCTAATTTTGCGACGAAAGAGTGAGAATTGAAGCACATTTTCAGCTTCTTTACACACCACATCATCTTGTAAAGGAGAGCAAACCGGTTCCCAGGTGAGTCATGTAGAGAATCACGAGTTATGACAATGATGGGCGTGTCATGAAAAGGGCAACTTGCAAGGACAGTGGTATTCGAATGATCTGGATTGAGCGATCGGTTCATGAGAGAATTGATACACTCATTTACGTAGTAGTCTAACTTTTAATACTACTACCCAATTTTTTCAGCACAGAGAAGTAGTTGATTTTTCGTTATAGGTTTTATGCCCAAATACGTTGGCGCCTAATGTCTTCCTCACAGATGACAATTACTTAATGTAAGAATATATTGAACGCATGACATTCGCGCGCAAGAATTGTTTGGATCACGTTTAAATTAAGCCATAGCCGGCAGAGCTGCGGGAGAATCCCGGATAGAAAGTCACCAATACGAAGGTCATGGCTGTGCTGGTGACGCAGCTTTCTCCAACCTATCAGTGTATGGCTCGGGAATGTGAATCCGCGATTGAGGCTTGGGAGGCAATGAAGAAGTTCTTTGCGAGGAAGAATCTTCACAATCGAGTGCAACTTTAGTAGGAACTCCATGATTTGTGATGGAGACTGGTACAAGTCTTATAGTTCATCTACTGAAGTTTGATCAACTGTGTCTGTAGCTCAGGGCTGCCGGTGACAGCATTGATAATGATGAGAAGCTATTTTCTTTTTAAAAAGATTATCATCTGACTATGATGATATGGTGCGCACAATTGAGGCACAAAACAACGAGACGCTGCTGGTCGCAAAAGAGATGCTCCGCCGTGAGTACGACACTCTTCAGAGGCGATACAAGAAAGAAACCTCTTTAAAGGCTCATGCTCAGCGCAATGTACCTTGGCGCTGTCAAGGTAAACGAGGACACCTTGGACAAGAAGAAAATCGAGATCGCAACCAACTTTCTAGAAAAGGAAAAGACAATGCAAATTTTCAAGGCAAGAGCTTTGGATGTGGACGGCACGGACACAAAAGATCGCAGTGTCGTAACGTGAAGCCATTGAGACCTGGTGATGAATTTGTTTTTTGGCATTCAGTGACAAATTAACTAAATTTCAACTTGGTTGATAGATAGTGAGGCAAGTCGTCATATGACTGTGACATACGTGAATTTGTGGAGTACGAAGATCTGACTACCCCCAATCTTTGTCACTGTGGCGAATGGACAGAAGTTGAAGGCACAAGGAACAGGCACAGTACAAATCTTACTCTAGAATGGTCGGAAGATAAGCTGACGGAGGTGTTGCATGTGCCTGGGCTGGACAAGAAGCTTGTGTCGGTAGCAGCGCTGACAGCCCGAGGCGTGCTTGTTCAGTGTAAGCGCGATCGAGCAATTCTGTTGACTAAAACGTGACAATAGCAGCTATTAAGCAAGTAGGAAAGCTGTTTGCGTGGAATGTGAAGCAGCATATAGCATTTGAGGCGCACAAGGCTGATAGAAGTGTCGCGATCAATGACAATAGTGGACTATGGCATGCTCGCCTTGGTCGTGTGTGCGCAAATGAGGTCATGCAAGCGATGAAGTCTTGTAATAGTATTACGGAAGTTGTTGCACCTGATTATGGTCTAAGTGATGAATTTGCACGCGGGAAAATGACAAACAGCCCGTTCGGTCATACTTCAAAAAGTGAAGTCAAGACAAGTCGAGCACTCGAGATCGTGCACACCGATCTTCTAGGTTATATAACGCCGAAGTCGAA